CATTTTGAGTTGATACTAGTACAGGGTGATAAACATGGATCTAGTTTCAGTTTCTTGCAGATGGGTAACCACTTTTCCCAGCAACATTTGTTGAAGGGGCTGTCTTTTCTCCATCATATGTTTTTGGCAATTTTGTCAAAAATGAGGTGGGTGTAGTTGTGTGGATTCATATCCGGATCCTCTATTCTATTTCACTGGTCTTCATGTATGTTTTTATGCCAGTACCATGCTGTTTTTATTGCTATTGCTTTGTATTATAGTTTGAAGACAGGTAATGTGATACCTCCAGCATTGTTCTTTTTGCTGAGTATTGCCTTGGCTATTTGTGGTCTCTTGTGTTTCCAAATGAACTTTAGAGTAAATTTTTCAATCTCTGTGATGAATGTCATTGGGATTTTGATGGGAATTGCATTAAATATGTAGATTGCTTTTGGTTGTATAGCCATTTTTTCTATGTTGATTCTACCGGTCCATGAGCACGGGAGATCTTTCCGTCTTTCAACATCACGTCAAAAAGGTCATATACCATGACCAAGTCGGCTTCATCCCAGGGATGCAGGGGTGGTTCAACATATGTAAATCTATAAATGTAATATAGCACATCAATAGAAGCAATGCAAAAACCACTTGATTATCTCAATAGATGCAGAAAAAGCCTTTGACAAGATCCAACACCACTTTATGATAAAAACGCTAAGAAACTTGGAATAGAAGGAATGTACCTCAATATTGTAAAGGCTATATATGACAAACCTACAGCCAACATCATAGTTAATGGTGAAAACCAGAAACCATTCCCCCTAAAATCAGGAATGACACAAGGGTGCCCACTATCCCCACACCTATTCAACATAGTACTGGAATTCCTAGCTAGAGCAATTAGGCAAGAAGAAGAAATAAAAGTAATACAAATAGGTAAAGAAACTGTCAAAATATCCTTATTTTCAGATGATATGATCATATACCTTAAAGACCCAAAAAGCTCTACCCAAAAACTCTTAGACACCATAAACAGCTACAGTAAGGTGGCAGGATACAAAATCAACTTACAAAAATTATTAGCTTTTCTATACACCAACAACAAACAAACTGAGAAGGAGTATATGGAAACAATTCCACTCACAGTAGCCCCCCAAAAAATCAAATACCTAGGAGTAAATTTAACAAAGGATGTGAATGAACATCCTTTGTTCATTCACAAGGAGAATTACAAACCCCTGAAGAAAGAGATTGAGGAAGACGTGGATTGTTTTGATTCTGACAAAGGAAGTGTACATTTATCTGGCTGTACTTAATTATAAAGTTTGTGATTTAGTCCTTGTTTTCAAAGCAAGGTATACTTCCAATAGAAAATAAGTTGTTTATCCTATGTATTTTTGTCTTATTAAATGACATTTCCTTAAAGGAAATGTTCAATTCCTTTGAATCAGAAAAAAGACTATTTAACAAAAAGGGGTTTTGTTTACATCTATTAGTGGTCTTTATAAAGCCTTATCTAGTGTTTTATTAATCTAGAATGATAAATAACTATATATTATTTTTATTTGCACATCCTTTTCGAACAGATGTCATGACTCAGATAATCATATTAAAAATCTTAGGAAAGTCACGTCTCATATAACATTGTTTGAGTGAAACTAAACACAAGTCTAGGCTTTGGGAAATAAATTTGCTAATTATACTCTGAACCCATGAAAAATAAATGGAGCAACTCAGAGAGGTATCTCTTATGTCTCAAAATACAATTAGAGCTAGTGTGGCAAAACTGTGGTAATGCCATGATAAGGTTGTACCTTCATCAGTGCCCATTTATTGGTTTCCATTAACTTCAGAGAAGTATGATGCCTGTCCATCAGCATGGGTCTGACCTAGAAACTCATTCAAAATGCAGATTCTCTGGCTGTAGGCCACATCAGTTGCATAAGAAATTGAAGTTCAATGCCAGATATGGTCATGGGGGTAGAGCATAGCAACTTATCTTATATTAAGCTATCCAAGTGATTTCTGATGCAGGCAAGTTTGAGAACCAGTGGTCTAAGTGCATGAAGGAAATTGAGAGCACAAACCTATATTATTATAGCTACAAACTGACATGTTACTATAGCAACAACTAGACAGTAGTATTGCATAATGAAACATTGTGCAATTAAGAAGCATGAATATTAATTGAAACCAATATTCTAAATTGCTAAAATATATTGGGCAAATGAATGTTTACTTTTAGCTTTATGGCATGAGAATCATAGTTTGATTAGGGAAGAGCATTTGATAAGTGGAAACCATGCCTGTTTTTTAAACATCATTCCTTTGGAATTTAGTTAAGTTTTTGTAGAAAAATAGAATCACTCTTAAAGACATTCATCGCCAAAATCACAAAGTAACTTACTAACCAGTGACTTATAACTTTGAAAGAGTTAATTTTTAATTGAACTCCTATACTACATCATATTAGACTTGTCAGTAATATGTTTTACAAAATACAGTGCTAGGCACCTAATGGCTGTTAAATGCACATTAAGAATTTATTTGTAGATCACTTGTTTGGGAATTTATGTGTCACAGAAAGTTATTATAGCAAATATATTCACATTCTGTAATTTTTTCTTTAGTATATGGTCTAAGATCTAGCATTTGCTGTATCCAAAGAATTAAATTCATGTTGGGGTTTGCATTTTATTGATATGTGCTAAGGATTAGATGCACTCAGTTAAGCTTCTTCCTGGCCAAATGACCAGATGTCAGTCTGAGAAAATCCTATATCGTGTACTACATCCCTGGATTATCTTATCTAAGTATTATGTGGACATTTCAGATGATATGCCTTGGCATGTGGTCATGTTTCATTAACTTATTAAGGATTGTTAAAGCATCTTTTTCCATTTTGACACCTTGCCACAATTGGATGTAAAATTGACTATAAGACTAAATACCTGATATTCATGCAGTAAGTAGAAGGGGCTTCATTGGTATCTAGGAGAAATGATGTCCAAATGGGTGTTTTAGAGAAAAGGGCTTGGTTGTCATATGATGTGGGATATGAAAAACTGGTGTCTCTAGTCTGCACTTTATTTTCCTCAACTATTAAAAGAGATGATTGGATCATGCTCATCCCCTCTATTTACATTATAAGCATATATAGAAATATATGAAACCCTTTATTTTGTATAATTAATATACTCAAATAAAAAGAAAGGATTTGTTACTCATCTTCAAGATTCTAAGTATTTTAAATTCTAAGATTTTGAAAGGAGGATAGCAGAAAATGAAAAACATAAAGCAACTCCATTGTGTCATATATGACTGGGTATTTTGTAGGTATTTGTTAAAAGAATAAATTAAACAAAATAATTAGTATAAAGTAGGCCTTAGCATGCTTTGCACACAATGGGAAATAATAATATTAGGTACTTGTAACTTTAGAGTTTAAGTTACATGTTTTAGGAAAAATATTTCTGTAATGTATATTTGAATTAAATACATTTCTCCCCTCAGGGTTTTCAATTTGATTTATTTATTCTTAACTACTATTCATATGAAATACTTAGAAAAACAAATAATTTTAATATTGTAAGTATAGGTGTGTTCTATAGATCATATATATTATATATTGTTTCTAGAAGAATGTCTTTTAAAACACTCTACATGTTATACTCTTCTGCACCTACTTATTTCATTATATTTTGTGTGACCAAAAATTGTAACTATAAAGCTATTTTTGGCATGCTTTTCCCAGAACCTTGTAAGAAACAGCAGGAGCATAATTTTAAGCTACAGAATTACAAAATAAGCACAGAATCCTAGCTACCATAAACAGAAGGACAAAATTCTAACTTTGCAAAAACTCATAATTACTAGCAATGGGGAAGGGTAGACATGAGGAAAAAAGTAGATTTTATGGAGTATTTTTTCATATTTCTAAACTTTTCTTTGAATTCTGTTTATTCTCAGAGATCGAATTCTGTGAAACCCCTCACACTCTATGTTCCGGCTACCAGACAGACATGCACAGTGTTGCTCGGCATGGCTACCAGCTAGAGATGGGATCTGATGCAGACACAGAGACAGAAGGTGCTGCCTCACCTGACCATGCCCTGAGAATGTGGATAAGAGGAATGAAGTCAGAACACAGTTCTTGTCTGTCCAGCCGGGCCAACTCTGCATTATCCTTGACTGACACTGACCATGAACGGAAGTCTGATGGGGAAAATGGTAATAAAACTACCTATAGTGAGAATAGTTGTTAACCTTTGCTTTGTTCTTTCCTGTATCTGCCCATCTTTCTTTTCTCTTTTGTTTTTAACTGGGGTTTGAACTCAAGGCCTCATGATTGCTAAGCAGGCACTCTACAACTTGAACCATGAGCCCAACCATTTTTTGCTTTTGCTATTTTTCAAATTGGGACTCCCATATTTTACTCAACCCAGTCTCAGCCTACAATCCTCCTACCTATGCCTTCCACATAGCCAGTATTACAGTTGTGCACCACCATGCCTAGCTTGTTTGTTGAGACAGCATCTCATGCTTTCTGCCTGGGCTGGCCTCAGATAGCTGGGATTACATACATAAACTGGGTTACAGTCATTAGCTACTGTGCCTGGTTCTGGATGGCTACTTTTTGAAGTGTTCATTTTGTTGCTTTCAAATAGATTGTAATGCAACATGGAAAAAAACTGACCATCTTTTATTTAATATCCAGAAAGGAAATGCAAATTAGTGGTGTCCAATGAAGAAGCTATATACCTGGATATCTGGCAAATAGACACATTTATTTATCATGATAGACAAAATATTCTTCCTTTCTAGGGAACCCCCAAGAGAAATAACCTCTTAGAGTGAGCAGCATTGTGCATTACTTATTCATTATTCATACTTTTCATTTTCATCTTTGCTTTCCAGTGTAATATCAGTGGTATTTATTACAGAAAGTACTCATTTCATATATTTGGAGTTTAAGTGCATGAACAATGATATGAACAATTGTATACCATGTATATATGAGCTTTCTTTTTTGATCCAGATTAACTTGTTGAATGTACAAACAGATTCAAATTGGCCAGGCTAAACTGAAATGATTTGAAAAACAGGAAATGAATTAACAATCCACCATTTGCAGACAATAAGTACTAACAATAGTATATATCATTATATTGTAATTATATATTATTTTATTTCTTACAACTTTTAGAAAAAGAAAGGTTTTGTCTTTTTGATTTTGGGGAGAGGGATTGATTTATTTTATTTCTTTTCTTCCATTCTTACTAAAGAAATAAAATCATTTCATAATGGGCACATTCATGAATATTAAATACATTAATCTAGTCTCTACATTCTGTTTGTCTAAATTTTATGACCTCCATCATGAAGAGCACAAAGCTTAGTCTGTAACAGTGCTAATTAGCATTTTCTCAGGTGGCAAAGAGGTACCAAATCACTTTGTACTGGCAGCTTTTGTATTCTATCCTCTTCTGCCTCCTTCTGCTCAAAGTAGATACTAGATACAAGATTATAAACAGGAATGTGTGGCTGCCCCACTACAAGAAATATTATCTGCTAAATAATTGGCTATAAACACCTTGTAATATCACCAAGTATCCTGAGAGCTTGATTTTTTAATATTTTCATATATATATGATATATATTTTTTTCATATGTAAGACATATATGTGTATATATATATATATATATATATATATATATATATATATAAACATGTGTGTGTATTTGGCTTTGCCAAGAGTGTAAGAGGTAATGTATTGAAATTAAGAAGGAACATATTTGCTATATGTATGCATATTCATGTAAGTGAAAAAATACTAGGATTGATATTAGGAGACTGGGTTAGTCACCAAAGTTTTCTGGGATTCATCTTGTCAATCAAGAAAAGCAATAACCAAAATTGTGTGAAATGGAGTGGTAAGTGATCTCCTATATCGCTAAGACTGCTTATACTGCATCATCCCACTCCTAATATGAATTTATAATGAGTCACTGGGTTGAAACATTAGAATACAAGACAGAAGTTTCTTCATTGGACTCTTTAATTCTTTTATCACTTCAGGACTCACAATGTGAGTTTTTTTTGGGATAATGAAAATATTGTAGCATTAAGTAGTTTTAACATTTGTACATCTCTGAAAATACTAAAAAGTATTGCTAAATTGTATGCTTCAAAAGTTGTGAATATTAAGTTACATGAATTATATTTCAATAAAGCTGTAATTTTAAAAAACCCTTGATGAAAAATTGTGGCTGTAGTTTCAGGAATTCCCAGATGACTTGGACAGGGATTAATTAGTCATATGCTTGCCATTACAGGTTTTAAATTCTCTCCTGTTTGTTGTGACATGGAGGCTCCAGCTGGCTCTACTCAAGGCAAGTGTTTCTAAATATTTGACTACAAATTGCTTTTTAACCTCACCCCATCTCCTAGTACCTAGCACACAGAAAGGTGAATCTTGCTCCACTGACAAACAACAACATACAAACCTGGTCAATGACCTTGTCAGAGATTAGTTCAGTGGCAGCTGATTGGTTTGTGTTCCTCCTTCATTGTGTGTATTTTCATGGTGAAGATAAAGCAAAGGTGAAGCTAGGGAGACACATAAGACATGATTTCAGGTGGAAACATTGATTTGGTTTGGGGCAGAGATTGAAATCAGGTTGTGTTGAGTTTAACTTCATGATTTCCTACGTATCCACCATTTTTGAATGATTTAACATTCACTCAGTAAAAATCTGATATTGTCATAACTTTCCAACGCCACCCAGCAGAAGTCCTTGGTCTTTTCCTTTAGATGTTCCTTGCTTGGCTTTATAATCACATTGTGTTTGTGTCATCAATTATAAATAATACCTTAAAATGAAAACAAAAGTTCATTTTTTTCTGTAAACTTGTGTTTATAGTGTCATTTTTCAGTGATAGGGTGTTGATGTTCTTGTAATTTTGCCTTTGTTGTACTCTTTGGGTTTTGCCACATTGAGGAAGGTTACTAAAAGCAACATTTGTAAATGATTTTCATTATTTAGTCTGTTCTGGGCCTTTCTTAAATGACTTGTAGTAGGGTCATCACATCCAACCACAGTGATTCAAAATTAGGAAAAGGCTGGTGTATAAAGGTTTAGAATAACACTTGTAAACATATATAGCATGAATATTCGCTATTATTAGATCATCATTTAAAAATTCCCTAATACACTATTTGTACTTTTATCTCATTTCATCCTCATGGCCACCTGAATTAGATCTATTATCAGTTCCCATTTTGCATGTAAAGAAGTATTAAGAAACAATTCAGAAACCAGGTAACTAAGTGCAATAGATTATTTTCTAAATAGTCATTTATTCATCATTGGGGTGGTACCTTTTCTTGGAGAGGACCCAGGTAGATATCAAGGCCACCTGTGGGATCCAAGTTTCCAGGTTTTGGAATGGTCCTCCAGAGGGACTTCTGACAAGCAACCCTCTGGTCATGACCTCCTCCATTGTCCTACCTAGTCTCACATTTCGTTTTAAAGCTGTGTGTCATCTCACAATTGTACTGTCCCCAGAATGGTCCACTGTAGATGGGAACACCTTTCAACATGATGTGAACTTGAACATATGGCTCTGTATGTTTTGCTCTGACTTCTATTACTATTTTCAATAAGAAGTATATAATTTGGAATCTTATCTATGATCTGTGGTAAGTTTTCATGGATTTCACAAATTTTCAATAGCTGATAACCAGGCCTGCCCTGCATTTAGCGTTCCCATGGGTTCGTATTCAGGAAGTTTGAGTTGAGATGAGTGTTTTCCAAAAACCTGTTAATTTGAAGAAACATGTTCTTTTCAACAAATTTAACTTGGTATCTGTATGAAATGCTGCTGTTTATTTCCCAGTGTTATCATTCATTCATGAACGTATGTTTACCAAGGCATCCATTTCATTAACTTTATATATACTATATTTGAAAAGTAAAACTGCTTAAAATATTTTGATCTATTTGCTTCACTATTTCAGAGTCTGTATTACCCTATATCTTTGTGCCTCAGTTAGAGTCAGTGACATTTTATTTTGTTCTGTTTTCCTATACTTTCTGATTTTTTGATTATTGATGAGGCACAATATTATGGACAAGTTTAGGATAAATTAACCTCCACTGCTGTGACTGTGGATAAATACGAAGGCAGGAGAAATTCTTAATTTGGGTGAGTTGTCCAAGTGAGAAATAATCTCAGAAGCAATTTCAAAGTTGCTTACAATTCTGTCTATCCCAGTAGAATACAGTATGACTTAGTTTTTCTAGTTATCCTTCAAAGTCATGTCTAAAATGACTTATTTCTTTCATTTCATTAATTGGTCGAGTCTTTCAGAATATTTAATTTTTTCTCATTGCATCACTTCTATTTGGTTGTCTTTAATTCAATTTCACTTCTTTGCATGTTGTAACCCCTGAAGAATTATAATAAACTCAACTTCAGAATTGGAGCACTTGGACCAAACGATCTAAAGTACAGGGAAGGGAAATTATCAGGTAACAGAAGGTGATACTCATTTCTAGGCTTTCACAGGACTATCATAATGTTGATATATATTGTTTCCAATGCCTCACATTTGTCCTAGGTAAATCCTTCATCTATTGATGGTTAATTATATATTAAGAAAATGCATATTCAATCAAGTTCATCCGAGGACCTATGGGCAGTCAATACCTGGGTGCCACTTTGGTATCAACCATCATGCTTCATTAATTCTACACTTTCCACACTCCCATTTCACCTTACTATTAATCATAAACCAGGGCTTGAGTTGTGTATTTTCTAACCTCACAATGGTTGTTCATAAGTACTAGCCTGGAAGCTACTTAAAGACAGAACCAGGTTTATTAGTGTTATAGCTTCAATACTTAGCCACAGGATATAGTATGCACTAAATAAATGAGAAATGCACATTGTTTTAAGAAGAAAACTAAATTAGAAATAATATATATATCATGGATCATCTATGATCTTATGAGACAAGATTTTGTAAGGTTAGAAAAACTTGGGTGGGTCAGATTTCTGGCCATCTAATGCACAACTCTACTTCTGATGAGTGATCCAATGGGCATTTCTTAGAACTTGGCACCCCTACCTGACTATCAATATCAGTGATCAGAGTATCATATCCTAAGTAATTACTTTTGACTGTACGTTGGGCTGAAAGAAAAAATTGTATCAGCAGCTAAATTAGACTAATCAACTTCCAAAAGCATTTTTCACATGTGGCCTAAATGAAAAAGTTAGAGTATAAACTGAAAATGAAAGTGTCAAGAAGCCAGAGAGAAATAGGTAGAGGAAAAACATTCATAACTTTTAATAAAGTATAAATTCTGAAAATATTACTTATATCTATATTCTTGATGATAATGACATTTTTGTTCAAGCAGTATTTATTGAGGACCTACTCTTTGCTAAGCTCTGTATTAGATACTAGGGATATATAAAAAATGAATAGTACACAATACCCAACCTCAAGGAATTTACAGACTAGTAGGAGATATTGATGCCCTATTAGTTAGAATGGTTTATTACAGTAAACCAACTTAAGGTAGCTTAAAGAAATACAAATTTATTAAATGGACATGGGAATGCTTCGTGGGAATCAAGGCAAGAGTGTGGCTGGACCACAAGTAGGGACCAGATCAAAAGAATTGCTAAGAGTTTTCCTTTTGCTTCTGAATGCATTTCCTTCAGCCCTGTCTCTGCAGATTGACATTTCTCTAAATCTCCATCTATAAAACAAGAATAAAACCTCATATAGTCCCCCAGTTTGTATTTCTTTCTGTTAGGAATAAGGTAAGATGAATTACATGTTTTATAGAACCATTGCTAACTTCCAAGGACACAAAATCATTTTCCTAGCTTAACTCAGATGTCTACCACTATCTCATCAGCTACAACCAGGGGATATGGTCAGTAATACAAATGTTGCCCACCCATTTGATTCCTAAAGCATTTTCCCAATGTAGGAGAGTCAGTGTCAAGTAGGCATATGTTTCCAAAGAGGTCAACTAAGTAGAATAAAAACAATTTAAATACAATTTAGTTTATACCACAAGATTGGAATTTATAACCTGATCTAAGAGCACAAAGAATGTAAAACCATCTACTAAAGTAAAAATGATTATGTTAATATAATGTAAATGAACAATACTCTTAATATGTTGTTAAGAACAGCTATAGTATAGGATAGATCCAGGCTTGGTCCCTATTTCTGCAACTTAACTGACGCTTGTCCTTGGACATATAACCAAAGCTCTCTTAGCCCCAGTTTCCTGGTCTGTAAAATAGAGATAGTACGTATTTCAAAGTTTTGGGGTTTTGTGAAGATTAAATTAGAAAATGGATAAGTAGTACTTTGTAATGTGTTTTTATAATTAAATGTGGTTATAATCAATCACATTCATTTATGGATGCACATATTGTGGGATAGGTGCTATAGTGTGCATTTCTGTTATGAAGGATTAGACAGACACAACTTCAACTTCTGAAACATCTGGTATCATAGGGAACTCACTAGTCTACCTGAGCCATCCTGTTTTTTACTCATTTTAAACTAGGTAAAAATCCTTACACTTATATTAAATAATACATCATTTCAATAGCAAAAAAAAATTGTTCTGCTAAGTGTATAAGACTGTTAGAGGAAATTCACTTCATACCTGGCTAAGGATTAACTCATGCTATTGTATTTCTTATTGTCATTGTAGAAGCCCTTTAAGGTAGGGCTAGAATCTGAAAATTTCAGAAGCCATGTTGATTTCCATGACTGTTGAGCAACTGGGCTACTTATGTGTTGTGCAGGATCTTTACAGGTAAAGGAATATCTGATACAATCTCATGACAGCCAAAGAATACATTAGTACTGTTTCTTGTTGCCTCTGCACTGCATACCATAGAACCCTGCTTTAGCTACCATGTGCTATGCATGTGCCATTCTAAGACCCTAAACTGCTTTAAGGGAACAGTTAAGTTGTGGAAAAAATGCCTAGACTAACACCTGGTTTTTTTTGACTGACATGTAATAGTTATACTTAAATGAGGATTTATTCCTTCTGATATTTTACCATATGGGGCCATTCATGTACATTTAGTGGAGGGAGTTTGTTTGTTTTATACTTCTTTCCTTTGCATTTTTTGTTTTCCCTTGGTAGTGTAAGTTACACAGGACACTTCCATAGCAGTAATAACAGTTCCTCAGGAACCATCTGAATGTCAAAGGAAGTGTGTGAAACAACGCAATGATTTGGTAATAGCTTTGGCAGGAGCCCTGCCATATAACTGACATCCTAATGGCTCTGTTGGAACCATTAGGCATGTATGAGACTGTGCAGTTGACTTTTGTAACAGC